GTCTGGGAGAAGTACTCGCCCTCCCCACATTCCTCCCCTCCCCCCCCCCCCCCCCCCCCCGACCCTGGGTGGGAGAGGCCTGCATTCTTACCTCCCTCCCAACATCCCCACCCTTCCCAAAGTCCACCCTTGGTGCTACAGCGCCCAGCCCAGAAGTCACCAAGCCTTGACTTGTGGTGGCTTGTTTCTTGTGTCTGGACATCTGCAGCTGCCCAGCTGGTCTCCAGGCTCCCGCCTCTGCCCTCCCAGATAGCCCACCTGGTCCCACGACCAGACCTGTCATCTTACGGAGTCCAACCTGGCCCTTCCCACAGCATGGGAAGAAAAGCCCAGTTCCTTAGCCAAGGGGCCCTGCGAAGACAGCTTTGGTGCACACAGGCGGGTGTGCAGTGAAGAGGGAGAAAGGCGGCAGGCTTGGCCCACAAGCTTCCTGGAGAGGGTGGTGTCCCAGCTGGACCCTGAAGGATTTGGGGGAGGAGGGGAGGTTTGAATGGGCGGTGACTGGGAGGCAGGGCTTGCTGAGGTGGGAAAGCAGTCTGAGCGAAGGCTAGGAGGTTGGTGCTCCCTTGATGTGGCCCCTGGGTGTGGCCTGAGTGGGTGTGGGGAGGTGTCCTGGGGATAAGGCCCAGATCAAGGTGGGCTGGGGCCAGATACTGGAGAGCCCCAGGCCCCAGCCGTGGACTCTGGCTCTTCATCTTTGGGCAGAGGGGCTGCCGAAGTCTTCTGTGCAGGGACACACTTGTGCTTTGGAGGATGGCTCTGCCAGAGTGAGGAGGATGGAGGAGGCTGAGAGCCTGCAGGCTGGGAGACTTATGTGCTGGTCCAAGCCGGAATAGATGAGGGTCTGAATGGAGTACTGATTGATGGCATTCATTCATTAATTCACTCATTTCTCACCTATGTATTTGGTGTTTACTATATGCTAGGCATTGTTTGAGGCACAGGGGATTTCTTTCTTTTTTTTTTTTTTTGAGATGGAGTCTCGCTCTGTCACCCAGGCTGAAGTGCAATGGCGCAATCTCAGCTCACTGCAACCTCTGCCTCTGGGGTTCAAGCAATTCTCCTGCCTCAGCCTCCTGAGCAGCTGGGACTACATGTGCCCACGACCACGCCTGGCTAATTTTTTTTATTTTTAGTAGAGACAGGGTTTCACCATGTTGGCCAGGCTGGTCTCGAACTCCTGACCTCAGGTGATCTACCCGCTTTGGCCTCCCAAAGTGCTGAGATTACAGGCGTGAGCCACCGCGCCCGGCAGGCATGGGGGATTGCAACAAGCCCAGCCTGTGCTCTCAGAGAGCTGGCATGGCCATGGGGAGACAGACAGGACCATTTCAGGTGGTGATGAGCTCTCAAAGAAGGAGAGGAGGGCAGCCCTTGGCAGGGAAGGAAAGTCCAGTGTGTGTGCTCCTGAGTCCCACTGTCTCTCTCCCAGGAACTCCCTCCCCGGAACAGCAGGCAGGTGCCCACTTCCCTCCTCTCATGTGGTGGCCCCAGATGCTTCTCCCCAACTTGTGCACACCACTGGATCTTTCCGCTCTCCAGACCCATCCTGCTTCTTCTTTGCCCACAGAGCTCGGTTCCTCACTGACCTTGATCTCCCAGCATGCGTCCTCAATGAAGTACCATGAGAGGCTGAGCTGAACTTCAGCCCTACCTCTGGCCACATGACCCTACACAGACCACTCTCCTGCCCTGAGCCTTATTTTCTTCTCTGAAATGGGTCTAATAATGGCATCTTGTCAATCAAGTGTCTGGCACAGGGTAGGAACCCAATAAATCCCAGCGCCTATTCCTTCTGCTGGGATCCTCAGGTGCTACTCAGCCTGCTTCAGCGGGCCTTCTGTGAACTGTAGCTCTGCTGGTGTCTGGGGCAAACCACGTGGTCTTCACAGCCTTGCACCCGCCATGTTGCTCCCAATCCCTGAAAGACAGTTCTAAGCCTTTTTATCTCTGTAAACTCTTAGCTCCTTGGGGTCTGGGTCTGGAAATACTGGTACAAAGCAGGGGTCCAGGGCTGGGGGTCCGGGGAAGAGGTGACTCAGGACAGGGGTCCAGCGTAGTGGTTAACAGCCCAGATTCTGGACAGTCAGACTGTCCTGGGCTTAAACCTTGGCCTTGCTACTTCTTGAGGTCATGAGCATTTGACCAAGCCCTCTGTGCTTCTGCCTCCTCATCTGTGAGGTGGATGTGTACCTGGTCCTAGCTTGCTGGGGCCTGTGACTACTAAATGGGATACTTTCATGGAAAATGACTAAGCACAGCACTAAGCACACAGTGACTCTCTTTCTTTCCTTCCCTCTTTTTTTTTTTTTTTTTTTGGAGACAGAGTCTCGCTCTGTTGTCCAGTCTGGAGTAGTGCAATGGCGTGGTCTCGGCTCACTGCAACCTCCACCTCCCGGATTGAAGCAATTCTCATGCCTCAGCTTCCCTAGAAGCTGGGATTACAGGCACATGCCACCACACCCAGCTTATTTTTGTATTTTTAGTAGAGACGGAGTTTCACCATATGGGTCAGGCGAGTGTTGAACTCCTGACCTCAGGTGATCCACCTGCCTTGGCCTCCCAAAGTTCTGGGATTACAGGCGTGAGCAACCACACCCGGCCTCAGTGAGTCTTAGTCAATGTGAACTCATTAAAACCGATTCAGTGAACAAGCCCACCCCATGGTCTGCTCTCCTCTATAGCACTTAGAACCCTGCAGGGGGATTAGCTGGGTGTGGTGTGCAACTGTAGTCCCAGATACTCAGGAGGCTGAGGTAGGAGGATTGCTTGAGCCCAGGAGGTTGAGGCTGCAGTGAGCTATGATTGCACCACTGCACTCCAGCCTGGGCAACAGAGCAAGACTCTGTCTGTGAAAAAAAAAAAAAAAAAGAATCCTGTTGGGGCTTCAAGGGGAGGTAATTTCCTAAGAGAGATCTTGGTGTGTCCTGAATCAGATGCAGTTTGAGCCCCCCCTCCTATCTACCCATCTGGCCAAGCCACAAGGTGAGCAGGGCACTTATGACCCCACCTGCCGCAGCTTCATTTCTGGCCTGAGTGAGTAACTTTCTTATGCTCAGGGGCTCGATCTGAACCAAACCATGAACCAGCACCAAAGCTGCACTAATCTACTCTATGCCCATGTGCTCTGGACTCAAACCCAAATATTCTCCAACTGTACTGTGAGCCTAATTAAAGCTCTTGGGAAGTTCCAAAACCAACCATATATTTTCTTTTTTTTGAGATGGGGTCTCGCTCTATCATCCAGGCTAGAGTGTAGTGGTGCATTCTCAGCTCACCACAACCTCGTCGTCCCACACAATTCTCCTGCCTCAGTCTCCTGAGTAGCTGGGACTACAGGTGCGTGCTACCACACCTGGCTAATTTTTGTATTTTTTTAATAGAGACGCAGTTTCACCATGTTGGCCAGGCTGGTCTTGAACTCCTGGCCTCAGGCAATCCATCTGCTTTGGCCTCCCAAAGTGCTGGGATTACAGGTGTGAGCCACCGCACCCAGCCAAACGAGACCATTTCTTTTGCACTGATACACATGATCCTTAATGAGAACCAGCTGCTGACACCTGTCCCGGAAGTTTCATCAGAAACAGTTCCAGGTGGGGGACTTCAGCAATGTGGGGGCTTACAGCTCAGATTACAGGGCTGAGCTGCAGCACGTGAAATAGTGTTAGGGGCCAACGTGGAAAACCCTACCTGGATTCCAGTCCCCACTGTGAGTTTTTTTATTTTTATTATTTATATTTTATTGTTTAAACTACTATTATTTATTAATTTATTGTTATTATTTATTTTTTGAGACAGAGTTTCGCTCTTGTTGCCCAGGCTGGAGTGCAGTGGTGTGATCTTGGCTCACTGCAACCTCCGCCTCCTGGGTTCAAGCAATTCTCCTGCCTCAGCCTCTGGAGTAGCTGGGATTACAGGTGTGAGCCACCACGCCTAGCTAATTTTTGTATTTTTAGTAGAGACAGGGGTTTCGCCATGTTGGTCAGGCTGGTCTCGAACTCCTGACCTCGTGATCCAGCCATGTTGGCCTCCCAAAGTGCCGGGATTACAGGAGTGAGTCACCGCGTCCGGCCCTGGCCTAACCTTTTGTGAGCACTTACTGCGTGCTAGGCACCTACTAAGCTCTTTGCATGTGTTGGTCCTCATGACCCTCTTACTCATCCAAAAGCTCCATGGCTTAGTCTGTGATCCATTTCACAGGTGAGGAAGCTGAGGCCCAGAAGAACTTGCCCAAGGTCGTGGAAGCAATAAAGCTGGATTGGATCCAAGCAGTCCCATCCCAGTGCCTAGATGGGGTGGGCTTTTACCTACCTTGGAACGTGTGTGTAAAGCCGCTTTGACACAAGAGGCATAGGCTGGGCGTGGTGGCTCACGGCTGTAATCCCAGCACTTTGGGAGGCCGAGGCGGGTGGATCACGAGGTCAGGAGTTCGAGACCAGCCTGACATAGTGAAACCCCGTTTCTGGCCGGGCGCGGTGGCTCAAGCCTGTAATCCCAGCACTTTGGGAGGCCGAGGCAGGCGGATCACAAGGTCAGGAGATCGAGACCACAGTGAAACCCCGTCTCTACTAAAAATACAAAAAATTAGCCGGGCGCGGTGGCGGGCGCCTGTAGTCCTAGCTACTCAGGAGGCTGAGGCAGGAGAATGGCGTGAACCCAGGAGGCGGAGCTTGCAGTGAGCCGAGATCGCGCCACTGCACTCCAGCCTGGGCAACAGCGTGAGACTCCGTCTCAAAAAAAAAAAAAAAAAAAAAAAGAAACCCCGTTTCTACTAAAAAAAAATACAAAAATTAGCTGGGCATGGTGGCGCGCGCCTGTAACCCCAGCTACTCAGGAGGCTGAGGCAGGAGAATCGCTTGAACCCAGGAGGCACAGTTTGCAGTGAGCTGAGATTGAGCCACTGCACTCCAGCCTGGGGGACAGAGCGAGACTCGAGACTCTGTCTCAAAAAAAAAAAAAAAAAAAAAAGAAAAGAAAAAAGAAACCAGGCATGACACAAATGACAAGTGATGTCGTTTTCCTTGTTACAGTTACCAGTATGACAGGTGGGATGGGGCCGGGTGTGGGTCCTGGCAGGAGGGACCTAAGAACTTTAGGTCCCGGCAGGTGCAGCCCTGGGAGCAGCCACGAGGGGGCATCAGGCTGCACAGGCGGCTCCAGGATGTCGGTCCGGGACCGGGCGAAGGGGTCAGTGAGTGATTCTCCGGCACAGCAGGATGAGCCCTACATAGGGCAGGTGGGCCCAGGAACCCCCTTTCTCAGTCCAAGACTCCCAGGCCCCAGGGCTTGGCCTTGGTGGCACCCATCTGTTGTGGTGCAGTTCGGCGGTCACAGCCTAGGGGCCGGGTCCAGCCCAGCCAGCTCAGCAGTAGGTCAGCACCCTGCCCCTTCCCGCGCTGCTGGGACGCCCCGAGATGCTCAGGTCACCACGCAAAAGCCCTGGGTAATCCGCCGCCAGAAGTTGCGACCGCGGCTGCTGAGGGCCACTTCGGCCGCCTCCTGGAAGACGGCGTGGACATTGTCATGGAGCCGAGCCGAGCACTCGAGGTAGGCCACCGCGCCAACGGACCTCGCCATCTCCTGGCCCTAGAGGGAGAGGTGGATGGGGCTGCTGTGAAGGGGGCAATGGGCAGGCCTCACGTCCTCGCTTCCTTCCCCTGGACAAGAGTGGAAGGTGGGGTCTGCCGAGCACCCATGGCTCCCGTACCCTGGCTTGCCCAAGCGCCCTCATGCACTTTAGCACATTTATTTTTCTTTTCTTCCTTTTCTTTTTTTTTTTTTGAGACAGAGTCTTGCTCTGTTGTCCAGGCTGGAGTGCAGTGCAGTGGTGCGATCTTAGCTCACTGCAGCTCCGCCAACCAGGTTCAAGTGATTCTCCTGCCTCAGCCTCCAGAGTAGCTAGGACTACAGGCACCCGCCACCACACCTGGCTAATCTTTTGTAATTTTGGTAGAGACAGGGTCTTGCTCTTTTGCCCTGGCTGGTCTCGAACTACTGACATCAAGAGATCCACCCGCCTTGGCCTCCCAAGTGCTGCGATTACAGGGATGAGCCACCACCCCTGGCTTTTTTTTTTTTTTTTGAGACGGGGTCTTGCTCTGTTGCCCAGGCTGGAGTGCAGTGATACAATCTTGGCTCACTGTAACCTCGAACTTCTGGACTCAAGGGATCCTCCCGCCTCACCCTCCCAAGTAGCTGGGACCAGAGGAGCGGCCACCAAGCCCAGCTATTTTTTTTTTTACTTTTTTGTAGAGATAGGGTCTCCCTATGTTGCCCAGGCTGGTCTCAAACTCCTGGACTCAAATGATTCTCCAGCCTCGTCCTCCCAAAGTGCTAGGGTTACAGGCATGAGCCATTGTGCCTGGCCTTCATTGTGTTTCTTTTTCTTTTCTTTTCTTTTTTCTTTCTTTCTTTTCTTTTTTTTCTGAGACGGAGTCTTGCTCTGTCCTCCAGGCTGGAGTGCAGTGGTGCAATCTCAGCTGACTGCAACTCTGCCAACCGGGTTCAAGTGATTCTCCTGCCTCAGCCTTCAGAGTAGCTGGGACTACAGGCACCCGCCACCACACCACCTGGCTAATTTTTTGTATTTTTGGTAGAGACAGGGTCTCACTATTTTGCCCTGGCTGGTCTCGAACTCTTGACCTCAAGTGATCCACCCACCTTGGCCTCCCAAGTGCTGGGATTACAGGCGTGAGCCACTGTGCCCAGCGAGCCTTCGTTGTGTTTCTTACCTCCATTCTGGGCTGGGCCTCTTTGCCTCTCAAGGCACCAAGAAATGAACTTCCTATGAACCTGGGCGTGTAGCAGAGAGGATCCCACAGTCTGAATATGTGGGCCTCCTCTCTGGGTCTCAGGTTGGTGGTGGAACTGACTCTGATACGCCTACTTCTTTGTTCTCCCTTCTGCCGGTGGAGGCTCCCAGCATATTCTAGGGACCATTTCCAAGTGCTGGAAGTTCCTGACACCAACAGCCTCTAAGACGACCCCAGCTCTGACCTACACCCTGAGCATGCTGGACGCCTAGTGCCACTGAGAGGCATCCAGAGGTCCCCTTAGCCAGTCCTCCCCAACTCCCACCTCAGGCTGGGTTTCCTACCCTGTGGTAGGTCACAGGCTCCAACCCGTTTCTTCGGAGCTTGTTCACCAGTGATTTGTCCTTGCGCAGGTCGGTCTTGCAGCCCACGACGATGATGGGCACCTTCTTGCAGAAATGATTCACTTCTGGGTACCACTGCAGGGGGGCAAGGGGGCATGTATGAGCCCTTGAGAGTTCTGGTCCTCTCAGTGGGCCACTCTCCTGCTCCCCAGCCCGAGCTCTGATATTGATAATCAGTACAGCCAGCATCTAGGGAGAAACTATTTGGTACCAGACTCTCATCTAAGAATTTACACATATGGACCCATTAATTCCCCAAGGCCCGGCAGCAAGTTCATAACCAATCCCACTGTACAGATGCGGTAACTGAGGCACAGAGAGGCGACGTAACTTGGCCTTGGCTGGAAATGGCAGGATTTGAGCCTGGGGGTGGGGCTCAGAGCCCTGCTCCTGCCCTTCTAGAATCCTGCCTCTGCAGGGTAAGGGCCCTCACAGACACCCACTAAACTGAGCAAAACATATAAGGAAATAAGTGATCCTTTAAAATCAAATCCGGAGGCTGGGCGCGGTGGCTCAAGCCTGTAATCCCAGCACTTTGGGAGGCCGAGACGGGCGGATCACGAGGTCAGGAGATCGAGACCATCCTGGCTAACACGGTGAAACCCCGTCTCTACTAAAAAAATACAAAAAACTGGCTGGGCGTGGTGGCTCAAGCCTGTAATCCCAGCACTTTGGGAGGCCGAGATGTGCGGATCACGAGGTCAGAAGATCAAGACCATCCTGGTTAACACGGTGAAACCCCTGTCTCTACTAAAAAATACAAAAAACTAGCCGGGCGAGGTGGCGGGCATCTGTAGTCCCAGCTACTCGGGAGGCTAAGGCAGGAGAATGGTGTGAACCTGGGAGGCGGAGCTTGTAGTGAGCTGAGATCTGGCCACTGCACTCCAGCCTGGGCGACAGAGCGAGACTCCGTCTCCAAAAAAAAAAAAAATACAAAAAACTAGCCGGGCAAGGTGGCTGGTGCCTGTAGTCCCAGCTACTCTGGAGGCTGAGGCAGGAGAATGGCATGAACCCGGGAGGCAGTGCTTGCAGTGAGCTGAGATCCGGCCACTGCACTCCAGCCTGGGCGACAGAGTGAGACTCCGTCTCAAAACAAACAAACAAACAACAACAAAAAAAACAAATCCGGGCCAGGTGTGGTGGCTCACGCCTGTAATCCCAGAATTTTGGGAGCCTGAGGCAGATGGATCACCTGAGGTCAGGAGCTCGAGACCAGGCTGGCCAACCTGGTGAAACTCCACCTCTAGTAAAAATACAAAATTTAGGTGGGTGTGATGGTGGGTGCCTGTAATCCCAGCTGCTCGGGAGGCTGAGGCAGGAGAATCGTTTGAACCTGGGCGGCAAAGTTTGCAGTGAGCTGAGATTGCGCCACTGCATTCCAGCCTGGGTGACAGAGTGAAACTCCATTTCAAAATAAATAAATAAATAAGTAAGATAAAAATAAATCAATCAATCCAGGCTGGGCGCGGTGGCTCACGCCTGTAATCCCAGCACTTTGGGAGGCTGAGGCCAGCAGATCACCTGAGGTCAGGAGTTGGAGACCAGCCTGGCCAACAATGGGAAACCCCGTCTCTACTAGAAATACAAAAATTAGCCGGGCATGGTGGCGGCGCCTGTGGTCCCAGCTACTCCAGGGGCTGAGGCAGGAGAATCACTTGAACCCGGGAGGCGGAGGTTGCAGTGAGCTGAGATGGAGCCACTGCACTCCAGCCTGGGCGACAGAGTGAGAATCTGTCTCAAAAATAAATAAATAAATAAATAAATCCGCTTACAAAATGGTTGCCGCTGTCTGCCTCAACTGTTTGCCTGGTGGAGGGAGGGCTGCTCTGCGGAATGTGAGGCCACCAGGGCCGAGTTCTTTCAGCCTGGACTACAGCTGGAGAGCCAGGGATCCCGAGGGGGCTTTCTATCTCCAGGAGCACTAAGTCGGCCAGTTCAGGCGTCAAACTTGCCAGATAAAAATTGGCATCAACTGGGCTTGGTGGCTCAAGCCTGTAATCCCAGCTACTCGGGAGGCTGAGGCAGGAGAATCGATTGAACTCGGGAGGTGGAGATTGCAGTGAGCCCAGACTGTACCACTGCACTCCAGCCTGGGAGACAGAGTGAGACTCCATCTCAAAACAAACAAACATTGGCGTCAAACTACCTCATTCCTGGAAGCAAATGGGGCCTTTGTGGGGTCCCTGGCAGATTCCCTACACCCTACCCATCCACCTAAACTGCCCATGAGGAAGATTTCCTTGGTGGCTCCCACTGAACCCAGCAGTGAATCCTCTGTTTTTTGAGACAGAGTCTAGCTCTGTTGCCCAGGCTGGAGTGCAGTGGTGCAATGTCGGCTCACTGCAACCTCCACCTCCCGTGTTCAAGCAATTCTCCTGCCTCAGCCTCCCAAGTAGCTGGGGTTATAGGCATGTGCCACCACACCCGGCTAATTTTTGTAGTTTTAGTAGCGATGGGGTTTCACCATGTTGGTCAGGCTGGTCTCAAACTCCTGACCTCAAATGATCCGCCCTCCTCGGCCTCCCAAAGTGCTGGGATTACAAGGCGTGAGCCACCGCGCCCGGCCTCCACTAGTGGATCCTCAGCCCTGCTCCTACCAATCCCTCGATAGCCCTGACCCTGGGCATCACTCCCTCCTACCTGACTGAGCCTGCAGTTCACCCCAGGACCCCACTCTCCTGGCTCTCCTAGGTCTTATGGGGCCTTGCCCTCCTCCTTCTCTCCCTGGGCTTCAGCCTTTCCTCCCCTCTAGCTACTCTCCCTCACCGGGCAGCCTCCCCCAGGCTTTACTGCACCTGTAGCTTATAAATATGCGGCTGCATTGAGGCTGCCCAGCCGGACTGCCTGCTAGGAGGAACTGCAGACGCATGCCTGGCACTGCCTGCCGGACACCTCCACTAGGATGTCCCACTCCGGTCCCCAGCTTGCTCCTTCTCATCCTGGCCAAGGGCAACTCCACCTTCCAGCTGCTCTGGTAAAAACTCCTCCCTCCCACCCACATCCAATCCAACAGGAAACCCCGATCATGAGCAAACTCTGCCTTCCAGACCGATTCAGAATGAACCTCCTTCTTGTCACTCCACCCTGGTCCCAGGCACCACCATCTCTCCTGGTCCCCAATGCCCAAACAGCACCAGAACAAATGTGCTCAATCATTTGTTCTGAATGAATGGGCAGGGCAGCCTGCCAGGGTTCAAATCCCAGTGTTACCACTTTAATAGATGTGTATCTTTGGATGAGTGACTGGATCCGGGAATAATAACACTCCATAAGGCTGGCCAGGGGAGTAAATGAGTAAATACATGCAAGTACCCAGAACAGTGCCTGGCACATGGTCAGTCCTTAAAATTGTTGCCATTGTTGTCGCTGTTGCTGCAAATACTGTCGTGGGCTGTACCCTGCAGAAACTCGGAGGCCCTGGCAGCAGTGGGTGAGGGGCTGTGCCATGGCTAAAGGCAGCTGGAGCAGAGGAATTCAAGGGGCCACATCCCTGATATCCATGACTAGCCTCTGAGAACCAGCAGCCACGCAGAGCTGCCGCACTCTGACTTCACGGTTCGTGCACCTCGGGCAGGCACAGGCTGGGGAGATGCAGGAGCCTCTGGGTCACCCAGCAACCTCAGGCAGAGCCGCAGTGGGAAGAGCCACAGTGTTCAGAGTCTGCAGCATAGGGTAGGCAAGGAGCACTGTACTGGGAGTCAGAAAGGCAGATGCTGCCACCAAATCCCTGTGCCAGAGACCCTGGGCAAGCCACTGCCCCACTCTGGGCTTCAGTTTCCCCATATATACACCAAAGGCTCTGGAATCAGTATCATTTTGGGCCTGCCACGCTCTGACAGTCAGTTGGATCAAGGGTGGGTGGCAGAGTGGAGTGGCCTTGCTATGGGGGCTATGCCTCCCTGTCCCCCGATACCTACCCGGTTAAAGACGTTGTCAAAGCTGTTCGGGCTGGTGACATCAAAGCAGAGCAGCAGGACACTGGCGTCAGGGTAGAACAGGGGCCGCAGGCGGTCATAGTCGTCTTGCCCTGGGCAGAGTGGGGGTGGTCACTGCCTTCAGGGCTCCTGGCCCCTGTCAGCACCGCCCCGATGTCAGGAGGTCACCCCATCAGATGGGGGAGCTTCTGGGGACAGGGCCTAGTTTTTTGCCTCAGAGTCTGGCACAAATTTGGCTCTGAGGTGGCTACTCCATGTGAGTGCGCCCTTGGGGCAGTGCTCACCTCTGCCTGTGGGGTGTCTGGAAGGGATGGCGGGCAAGGCAGAGGCCAGGCCTGGCACCACCTGGAGGAACTGGGGCCGACTGCTCAGAAGCCGGCTTTGCTCTGAGCTTAGGAGTGAGAAATAAGGGGTAGGTGGGAACCTGGCAAAGACATCTTAACCCGTCCAACTAAGAGGGCTGCTGGGATGCCCTGAGTTTAGCTCAGAGCTCACCCTGGTATAGGCAAGGTCAGGAGGCTGGAGGGCAGAGGCCACGGACAGGCAGATCCTACAGAAGCTAAAAGCAGGGTGGAGCGCTCAGAAGGCCAGGAACAGTCCTGAAAGCAAAGTGCTGGATTCCCGCTTGCCTCCAAGACGTAGTGGGCAGCCCTGGGGTGCTGGGGGTGCTGGGGGTGCAGGTGGACACGGCTGCAGAGGCAAAGAGGGCTCAGACTCCTGGGCCCACTCCTGGCCCGCGCCTGTCCCTGGGAGACTGGCTGGCCTCCCTGGTTCAGAAGGAAGCAGAGCGGAATCTGTCCCAGGCATCTGGGGCCCACGGAAGCCCCTCCCACCCTGCCCCTGCCCCAGCACACCCACCTGCTGTGTCCCAGATGTGGAGGTGCACAGGTCTGCCTTTCACTTGCAGGTTGACCATGTACCGCTCAAACACGGTGGGGGTGTAGCTCTGAGGAGAAGCAGGGCAGGGGGAGGCTGTGAGGAGGCTTTGAGAGGCGTTGGGGACTTGGTCTGTCCACAGCGCTGCCCCTGTCTTGGGAGTCAGTGGAGTGTAGTTGTTTGTGAGAAGCCTCCTCCTTGGCCTGCCTGGGGTGCTGGTCCAGAGCCTGTCTGCTTTTGCAAAGTCCTGAACCTCCCAAGCTTTGTTCTCAGTCGTGAAATGGGAATATTGAAAGTCCCTACCAGCCCGGCGCCATGGCTGACCCCTGTAATCCCAGCACTTTGGGAGGCTGAGGTGGGCCTTGAGACCAGGAGTTCGAGACCAGCCTGGCCAACATGGTGAAACCCTGTCTCTACTAAAAATACAAAAATTAGCCAGCCGTGGTGGCACATGCCTGTAATCCCAGCTACTTGGGAGGCTAAGGCAGGGGAATCGCTTGAACCCAGGAGGTGGATGTTGCAGTGAGCCGAGATAGCGCCATTGCACTCCGGCCTGGGTGACAGAGTGGGACTCCGTCTCAAAAAAAAAAAAGTCCCTACCACAGTGCCGCTATAAGGATTCAGTGAGATATTCCATGCAGAGCCCTTAGCTCAGGGCCTGGCATAAAATAAGCACATCTACATGCCAGCTACTGTTATTTTTATCATTGCCCTCTGGATGGGGGCAGGGGACTCCCAGTTTTCCTTTTTTTCACAGACAGGGTCTCCCTGTGTTTCCCAGGCTGGAGTGCAGCAGCTATTCACAGGCACCATAGCTCACTGTAGCCCCAAACTCCTGGGCTCACGCAATCCTCCTGCCTCTGCCTCCCAAGAACTGGGACCACAGGCACATGCTAGTGGGACTCCCATTTCTGAGCCTTCATTCATGTTGTCCCCCCTTCCTAGAACACCATTAACCTACATGTTTATTCATGCCTTGCTTTGTTCGTTTGTTCATTCATCTATTCATTCAGCAGCATTAGCACCTTCTCTAGGCCCAATTCCGGACACTGGGAAGCAGGCAACAAAAGACTCAATCCCTGCCCTGGGGAACTCGCACCTTTTTGGGGTTCCTTCTTTGCCTCTCAACCTCTCACAATCCAAACAAGACCCCTATTAAATGCTACCTTCACCTTTCTGGGATGCCTTTCCTGATCCCTTACCAGAATGCCCCAATGCACCTTCCACCTTTTTTTTTTCTTTTCTGTTTTTGAGACAGAGTCTCACTCTATCGCCCAGGCTGCAGTGCAATGGTGTGATCTTGGCTCACTGCAACCTCCACCTCCCAGGTTCAAGGGATTCTCCTGCCTCAGCCTCCCGAGTAGCTGGGACTACAGACACACGCCACCATGCCCGGCTAAGTTTTGTATTTTTAGTAGAGATAGGGTTTCACCATGTTGGTCAGGCTGGTCTTGAACTCCTGACTTCATGATCCACCCACTTCGGCCTCCCAAAGTGCTGGGATTACAGGCGTGAGCCACCGCACCCGGGCTTTTTTTTTTTTTTTTTTTTTTTTTTTTTTTTTGAGAGAGAGTCCTGCTCTGTCATCTAGGCTGGAGTACAATGGCGTGATCTCTTGGTCACTGCACCCTCTGCCTCCTGGGTTCAAATGATTCTTCTGCCTCAGCCTTGAGAGTAGCTGGGATTACAAGCACACACCAGCACACCCAGGTAATTTTTGTATTTTTAGTAGAGATGGGGTTTCACAATATTAGCCAGGCTGGTCTTGAACTCCTGGACTCAAGTGATCCACCCACCTCGGCCTCCCAAAGTGCTGGGATTATAGGTATGAGCCAGCACGCCCTGCCTTTCTTTTTCTTTTTTTTTTTTTTAAATAGGGTCTCACTCTGTCACCCAGGCAGTGCAGTGGCGCAATCTTGACTCACTGCAACCTCTGTCTCCCAGGCTCAAGTGATTCTCCTACCTCAGCCTCCTGAGTAGCTGGGATTACAGGTGTGGGCCACCATGCCTGGCTAATTTTTCTTTTTCTTTTATCGTAGAGACAGGGTTTTGCCATGTTGCCCAGGCTGGTCTCAAACTCCTGAACTCAAGCAATCAACCCACCTTAACCTCCCAAACTAATTTTTTGTATTTTTTGTAGAGATGGGGTCTTGCTATGTTGCCCAGGCTGGTCTTGAACTCCTGGACTCACACGATCCACCTGCCTTGGCCTCCCAAAGTGCTGGGATTACGGGTGTGAGCCACCACTCCCAGACCAGTGTCCCATGTTTGGGCCTTTCTTCTTTGTCCTGCCTGGGCTTGGGAGGAGGTCGCCCAGGACAGAGGCCCCTTATTCCAGCCTTGCCCAGCCTAAGCTCACTGCCTTTCCATGAAGGTGAGATGAACGGGCAACAGGCCAGGTTTTGTACACAGATGAAAATGCAGGAATGAAGAGGGAGCTTTTGAAAGATGGGTTTGCAAAACTCTGCCACAACCTGTGCCCTCTGCTCCAAGGGGCATGCTGGGCTGCCTGCTGTTAGGTCCCTAACCCTGGACTGCCTGCTCAGGGCTGGTTGGTACGGCCACAGTCAGGGGGGGCCCTATCCTATTCCCTTCCCATGCCAGGTGGGGCCCCCACCTGCCCATGACTCAGGAGAATTTCACGCCTGCCCGCCTGCCTGCCTGCCCGCTGGCCCTCTGAGTCAGGCCCTGACCAGCTGGGAGGGGCAGCACCTGAGCAGTGGGTCAGCACCATCCTCCAGGGAAGCTGCAGGGAGTGGGGTGGGGAGAAAGGCAGGTCTCAGAGTGGGCAGCTGAGGAAGATGGAAAAGTTGGGATAGCCTTGAGGTAAGGGCTGGCCCCACCCCAGACTCTAGACATGCTGTCACTCCTTCTACCAAGAGGAACCAACAGGAAGAGACAAGGGCGTCACCTACCTCTCCATCCCCCCTTGCCCACTCAGAGTGCCCTCCCTCAGGCCCTTTGCCTGGTGGGGGCAGTGTGACCTGGTAGCTAGGAGCACTAGCTTTAGGTTTAGATGTGCCTGGCTTAAGACCCAGCTCCGGCACTCACCAGCTATGTGTCCTTAGGGCAGTCTCCTCACTGGTTAAAGGGGAAGAGTGTCACGCCATGATGTGGGAGGGAGGATGGACTGGCAGATGAGGCCCCAGCATAAATGCTCACCACCGGGAAAGCTGGTGGCCAGGAGCAGTGTCCACAAGAGCCCCCATCCGTCCTTCCAGGTGGTGACACTTTCTCCAGTGATATGGATTGGCTGTGTGTCCCCACACAAATCTCATCTCGAATTGTAATGCCCACGTGTCGAGGGAAGGATCTGGTGGGAGGTGATTGAATCGTGAAGGTGGTTTCCCCCATGCTGTTCTTGGGATAGTGAGGGAGATTTTTCTTTTTTTGACGGAGCCAGGCTGGAGTGCAGTAGTGCGATCTTGCTCACTGCAGCCTCTGCCTCCTGGGTTCAAGTGATTCTCCTGCCTCCACCTCCTGAGTAGCTGAGATTACACGTGTGTCACCACACCTGGCTAATTTTTGTTTTTTTGTTTTTTTTGAGATGGAGTATCGCTCTTGTTGCCCAGGCTGGAGTACAATAGCAGGATCTCTGCTTACCGCAACCTCCGCCTCCCACGTTCAAGCGATTCTCCTGCCTCAGCCTCCTGAGTAGCTGAGATTACATACATGTGCCACCATGTCTGGCTAATTTTGTATTTTTAGTAGAGACAGGGTTTCTCCACGTTGGTCAGGCTGGTCTCGAACTTCCGACCTCAGGTGATCCACCCGCCCTGGCCTCCCAAAGGGCTGGGATCACAGGCGTGAGCCACTGTGCCCAGCCTAATTTTTGTACTTTTAGTAGAGATGGGGTTTTACAATATTGGCCAGGCTGGACTCGAACTCTTGACCTCAAGTGATCTGCCCACCTCGGCCTCCCAAAGAGCAGGGATTACAGATGTGAGCCACCATGCTTGGCCAACAGTGAGGACGTTCTTACGAGACCTGATGGTTCAAAAGTGTGGTGCTTCCCCCTTCTCTCTTTCTCTCTCCTGCTGCCACGTAAGAAGTGCCTTGGTTCCACTTCACCTTCCACCATGATTATAGGTTTGCTGAGGCCTCGCCAGCCATGCAGAGCTGTGAGTCAATTAAACCTCTTTTCTTTTCTTTTTTTTTTTTTTGAGACGGAGTCTCGCTCTGTCACCCAGGCTGGAGTGCAGTGGCACTATCTCAGCTCACTGCAACCACCACCTTCCAGGTTCAAGCGATTCTCTCGCCTCAGCCTCCCAAGTAGCTGGGATTATAGGTGCTTGCCACCACACCCAGCTAATTTTTGTATTTTTAGTAGAGACGGGGTTTCGCCATGTTGGCTAGGCTGGTCTCAAACTCCTGACCTCAGGTGATCCGCTTGCCTCGGCCTCCCAAAGTGCTGGGATTACAGGCGTGAGCCACCGTGCCCCGCCAACCTCTTTTCTTTATAAATTACCCAGTCTCAGGTAGTTCTTTATAGCAGTGTGAAAATGGACTAATACCCCCAGCCCCTCCCCAGCTTCTGACCTTTGTCCTAGAGTAGGGGCCTCTCATTGTGAAGGGCACTGGTGCCCTTGCAGCTGAGCTCCCAGCTTGACCACCCACTAAGTCACCTTCTTGATCTGAGCTGCAGGGCAGCCTGCTGGGAATCTCTTGGGAAACATGTTTCAGTGCTTTGCAAATGCCCATGGTAATGACACCACCACCTACCATTCTCTAAGGATCTGTGCGTGGCTGTGTACTGGCGCCGCCTCTGATCCTGGCAAGCTTGGAACATCAGTACAATCTTCACTTTCTGATGATGTTCAGAGAGAGGAAATGACTTGTTCAAGGTGACACACTGAACAGCTGGCTAGTGACAGAGCTAGGTCTTTCTGGCTGCAGAGGCCAGGCTCTGTCCCCAGCCACCTGCCTTTCCTGAGGTTACCAACTCCAGTTCCTAGAGGCAGAAAGGGGCCGGGTTTCCCCTCTGGCTTGTAACTGTCACAGCCCTTTCCCCCACTCGGGAGGTCATCCTAGAGACTCTGTCTATACCTTCTGTTGTGTTGTTCTTTTTTTTTTTTTTTTTGAGACGGAGTCTCGCTCTGTCACCCAGGCTGGAGTGCAGTGGCCGGATCTCAGCTCACTGCAAGCTCCGCCTCCCGGGTTCACGCCATTCTCCTGCCTCAGCCTCCCAAGTAGCTGGGACTACAGGCGCCCGCCACCTCGCCCGGCTAGTGTTTTGTATTTTTTTTTTTTAGTAGAGACGGGGTTTCACCAGGTTAGCCAGGATGGTCTCGATCTCCTGACCTTGTGATCCGCCCATCTCGGCCTCCTGTGTTGTTCTTTGACCCCCAGGCAGGGTCACCCTCTGTCCATGGGACCAATGGCACCTAACCTTATCTGTTAGGCCGTCCTCAGCCAGAAAAGAAGGGCTGAGCCTGTGCTGGACCAGGACAGAGATGACTCAGGTTCGGGTCTGCCCTCCAGGGGCTCACAGACAGAAAATGGATCATTACCAAGATAGGGGACCTGGGCAAAGGGGAGTGTCGGGGTATCCCTAGTTAGGACACCCATGGGAGTCTAAGTGCGAACAAGGAAGGACTCAGAGGGCTCTAGCCAGCAGGGCCGGGTGCTCTTCACCGCCTCCTATCCCCATGCTGGTGTGGGGGCTGCTAGGCTTTGAACCTGTGGGAATGGTTGCAGCCCCAAATGCCAGCCAGGACTGGGCAGAGGCTGGCAGCCCAGCCTGGGGCTCCCCCCTGTTCTAGGAGTTCTCTCTACCTTGCCCTCCCCTGCTGCTCTGAACCCAGGGTTGGGCCACAGCCGGATGAGGGTCACGGAGGTCCCTCCAAATCCTCAGGCTGCTCTCAGCCCTTTGCTGTGTGCAGGAAGTCTGGGAGATGGGACTCCAGCCTCCTGGCTGCTGGCCCCTTGGGCTTCAAGGGCTGCCTGGAGGAAGAGTCTGGTGCTAGAAACAGGGGCAGGAGGAGGCTGGGTCCAGCAGGCAGATCACTGGGGGCTGTGGAGAAGGCCCTGGTAGGGAGTGGGAAGACCAGGGGTCTAGATCAGTGCTGCCCCCACTGAGCCATGTGCCCCCAGGCAAGCCTCTGGGCTCTGGAGTCAGTTTTCCCATCTGCAAAATGAACCCTTTCCAGCTCTTGCACATTGTGGGATATATATATATATATATATATATATATATATATATATATATATATTTTTTTTTTTTTTTTTTTTTGAGACAGAGTCTCACTCGGTTGTCCCCGAGCTAGAGTGCAGTGGGGTGATCTTGGTTCACTGCAACCTCCGCCTCCTGAATTCAAGCGATTCTCCTGCCTCAGCTTCCCGAGTAGCTGGGATTACAGGCGTGTGCCACTATGCCCGGGTACTTTTTTTTGTATTTTTGGTAGACACGGGGTTTCACCATGTTGGCCAGGCTGGTCTTGAACTCCTGACCTCAGCTGATCCACCCGCCTTGGCCTCCCAGAGAGCTGGGATTACAGGCGTGAGCCACCACGCCTGGCCCATTGCGGGCTCTTTAAAAGAAGAGGACTCTCCTGCTCCAGGGCCCCCAGACAGGGGAAGAGCCTGGACAAATCCGGCCCATTTTCCTGGTGACAAGCATGCCCTCCCCCCATTTCCGGCCTGCCCCAGCATGTCCCTCAAAGCATTCACATCTTATCAACTGCAAGACGCCCATTTCCACGTCAGAACTGCTCTGAAGCTGGGATGGTCTCACCATCAAGGACACTTCAGAGCTGGTGGTGAGGCCCCAGCCCTCCAGCCCCCGCCCATCAGGTGCCTTCCCCTGGGCCTGGGCCACCTGTCCCTGTGTAGTGCTCTTCCCTGGGTGCCCTCATTGTTGGGTTCCCATGGGCAGCATCCAGAAACATGTTTCCCCCAACTTAAAAAAAAGTATGACTGATCAAAGGAGGTGACATGAGCTCCACAAGCCACTAAACAAAAGTGACTCAATGCCACTGCAGCAGAAAGCCATGGCGGGGCCCAATACAGCCCGGGGGGTCACAGCCAAGGGTGGGAGACAGGCAGGACATCATCGTGATAAGAACTACAGTGTGATAAGAACCAGGGTAGGCCCGACCCGTCCTGCTTGTGCTCAGATGCCCCAGCACCTGTACAACCCCAGGGGCTTTGAGGATGCTGGGAAGAAACGAAGGAAGAATGCCAGTTGCGGTGGCTTAAGCTGGTATTTCCAGCACTTTGGGAGGCTGAGGCGGGCAGATCGCTTGAGGCCAGGAGTTCGAGACCAGCCTGATCAATAAGGCAAAACCCCGTCTCTACTAAAAATAAAAAAATTGGCCAGGCGAGGTGGCTCACACCTGTAATCCCAGCACTTTGGGAGGCCAAGGTGGGCGGATCACGAGGTCAAGAGATGGAGACCATTCTGGCCAACATGGTGAAATGCTGTCTCTACTAAAAAAATACAAAAATTAGCTGGGCACGGTAGCACGCACCTGTAGTCCCAGCTACTCGGGAGGCTGAGGTGGGAGAATCACTTGAACCTGGGAGGCGGAGGTTGCAGTGAGTTGAGATTGCTCCACTGCACTCTAGCCTGGGTGATAGAGCAAGACTCCGTCTCAAAAATAAAATAATAGGCCAGGCGCGGTGGCTCAAGCCTGTAATCCCAGCACTTTGGGAGGCCGAGACGGGCGGATCACGAGGTCAGGAGATCGAGACCATCCTGGCTAACACAGTGAAACCCCGTCTCTACTAAAAATACAAAAAAACTTAGCCGGGCGAGGTGGCAGGCGCCTGTAGTCCCAGCTACTCGGGAGGCTGAGGCAGGAGAATGGCGTGAACCCGGGAGGCGGAGCTTGCAGTGAGCTGAGATCCGGCCACTGCACTCCAGCCTGGGTGACAGAGCGAGACTCCGTCTCAAAAAAAAAAAAATAAATAAAAAAAAAAAATAAAATAAAATAAAATAATAAAAAAAATTAGCCAGGCGTGGTGTTGGGTGCCTACAATCCCAGCTTCTCAGGGGGCTGAGGCAAGAGAATCACTTGAGCCGGAGAGGCGGAGGTTGCAGTGAGCCGAGACTGTGCCAATATCACTCCAGCCTGGGTGACAGTGAGACTCTCTCAAAAAAAAAAAAAAAAAAAAAAAAAAGAGATGCTGGGAGCAACTCCATGGACTCCCAGGACAACAGAGCTGAGAGGTGGCAGAGCAGGGGCCGCCTGGTGCCTGTGGAGTCTGCCTGGGCAGTCAGCATGTCAGGAAGGATTAACAGTGGGCATGCCTACAGCGCCAAGGACGTGCCAGGTACCGCACCGGAGCTGCCTATCAGCCTTCCCTGGGCTCCACCTCACCACCGCCCTACAGTCCCTCTACCCCATGGGGTTGCTGTGAGGAAACTGAGGCTCGGAGAAGCTAAGCAGTTTACAAAAGGGCACGGGGCTCATAAGAGGAGAGCAGAGACGCGGGCCCAGCAGCTGAGGCTACAGCTGGTGTGCTCTGACCCTCCAAGGAAGAGCCCATGGCACATGCATTCCAGCGGCAAGAGCTGGAGGGGAGAATATGTTTCCCAAGAGTGACATGTGCCAACTCTCCGTGAGTACTTCCTGTGCGCAGCCCGGGGCTGAGTGCTTGACGTCTATTAACTCACTGTCACAGTGACCCTGTGCGGTGGGCGCTGTCACTCACCTGTGATTTAGTAAGGGACACGGGCACAGCGGGGTTAGGGGACGCTCGCAAGGGCACACAGCTGTAAGTGGCAAAGCCATAATTTTAACCTAGGCAGTCTGGCTCCCAAGCCCTCAGGCCCTCTTGGCGGAATTGTGCGGCCAAGTGCTGTTTTAGGATCTTGTGTGCACCCAGGTCGCCTCACTCAGTCCTTGTGACACCCCTCCCCGGTAGGTGCCATTCCTCCCGCTTTACAGATAACATCACTGAGGCCTTCATTCCCACTGGCTGGGGGAGAAGAACTCTGCCCTGGACTCCAGGCCCCGCTGGGAGACCCCTCGGAGGCCGGGGCAGACGCACAGCCTGGGCCGTCCGGCACGGACCTGCACACCCGGGCGCGCGAGCGGAACCGGGCGAGGCGGAGACGCCGGGCACTCACCTCGGGGAAGGCCCCATCGGCGAAGACCATCAGCAGCGACGTCTTCCCGCAGCCGCCGTCGCCCACCAGGACCACCTTGACCGACCGCACGCCTGGTGGCGCCTCCTCGCCCGCGGCCTGGGCCGCCGTCATCCCGGGGTCGGGCGCGGAGAGGGCGGGCGGGCGGCTGCAGCGCAGGGACCCAGACTGCGCGGGGGCCGGCCCGGCGGGGCAGGCCCGGCGGGGCAGGAATGTGGAAGGGGCGGGGCGGCGGGAGGAAGTGCGAGCCGGGCGCCCCGAGAGCCAGGTGAGACGCCCGGGCGGCTGGGCTGGGGCCCTTCCTCTCAAGGCCGTCTAGGTCCTTGAAGAAACGCTGCCCGAACACCTACTGTGAGCGGGCCGCGCTGGGGCCATGGGAGGTCGGAAGGGAGAAGACAAACAGCGGGACCATGACAGTGTGGGCGGGGGTGTGCTCACGGGCTGGGTCCCAGATCCCAGGCAGGAGCCAGTGACCTTTACTGAATGAGTGAATGAATGGTGCATTTCCCCAGGGGGCTTAGGACGGAGCACAACACAGGCGTTTCATGCCAGGTGGGTAGCGGATGACCCCCTTCACTGGCCCTACCAGGCCTGGCCTGCCTCCCTCCGCCAGCACCAGGAAGTTTTGCTGAAGGTGGGCAGCCACCTGACACCCTGGCTGGCCACGATCTAGGGAAAGAGATGGAACCTTCCCTCTATAAAGTGTGTTTCTTATTATTGCACCATGAGACGTCCTCCTGGTGCCCAAGGGCCTGGGGACCCTGAACTGTTCAAGATAAAATCTAGGCCCTGCCTTGAGAAGCCCACAGCCTAGAATAGTAGACAGGCAGGACATCAGTGTGATCAGAACTACAACGGGGGTAGGGACAGGCAGCGGGACAGGAGTAGGGGAAAGGAGCTCCTCGCCCAGGTTGAGTGAGTCAGGAAGCCCTTCAGAGTCTTGAGGAAAAAGTGAGACACAGTCAGATGGGGGAGGGAGAAGGTGTTCCACAGGAGAGAGCGGCAGGGGCGAGGCTGTGGAGGCCGGAGCAGAATGCTGCCCCCCCGCCCCCGCAGAGGGTGCGTCTCCCTTGCACAGTGGTGCTTGCCCAGTGGAGCACTTTGGATGCCAGCAGTAAATCCAGCATTGGACTGGGAACTCATTGTCACCTGATCCCTCCACTTCTCCTAATGGCCAGAGTTGAAATCTTTTAAAAATGGGCACAAGGCTTTGGGAGGCCGAGATGGGCAGATCACAAGGTCAGGAAATCGAGACCATCCTGGCTAACCCGGTGAAACCCCGTCTCTACTAAAAAATACAAAAAACTAGCCGGGCGAGGTGGCGAGCGCCTGTAGTCCCAGCTACTCGGGAGGCTGAGGCAGGAGAATGGCGTGAACCCGGGAGGCGGAGCTTGCAGTGAGCTGAGATCCGGCCACTGCACTCCAGCCTGGGCGACAGAGTGAGACTCCATCTCAAAAAAAAAAAAAAAAAAAAAAATTGGGCACAAGGGTCTTCCCAGATCTTGAACTGAGTGTTTATATTGAAACTTAAAAGAATAGGGGGCAGACATCATTAGGTTACCCCCAATTTATGCTGGTCATGACATCACCCCTTATGGAGTTCCAAGTCAGGCACGTGAAAATGCACCTTCAACCTCCTTTAAACTTACTGTGGTCTAAAGAGGCAGCCAGGGCAAGAGTCACTACGTGGAGAAGCAGAGTCCAGCTCCTTGACTCCTCTACCTGGCTCCAGGCTGTGGTCCACAGGCTGGATGGAGCCCCACTTGGAGGGAAGGAGCCTCCCCAGGACAGCTCTGCCTTCCAGGTGCCCCTTCCTCCCCGAAACTGCCATAGGGCTGGGCAGTGACTTGACACCGGGCTGGGCAGGTAGCTCCTGAGCAGGGCTCCCCGCCCCAAGGAGTGGTGAGAGGGGCCCCACCCCCTCGGATCAGCTGTCAGCGTCATCCTCCCCATTGCTGTTGTCATCAGGCCTTGGGTGGCAAGGCTGGAAGGCAGGTGGGGCCAGACTGGGGGTGGAGGGAGCCGAGAGTCAGGCAGAGGCGTTTGGCCTTGGTTGCTATAGGGATAATCTCTGTAATGACACACTTGATGTCTGTCATGCTGTACAGTTTCACTGAACATTTCCTAATAATAACAGCACCCATTAATGGATTGCAAGCCACGTGTAGGCACTGTTCCCTAGGAGGTAGGGACTCTTAGCTCCATTTCACAGATGAGGAGCCTGAGACCCAGAGAGGCTAAGTTGTTGACTAAGATCCACAACTAGTAAGAGGCTGAACTAGAATTTGGATCCAGGTGTGACCCCAAAGCCAGGCTGTCTCCCTCCATCACACCTCATCTGTGCAATTGCAATTTTGTTCAGCTCTCAGACCATGACGTCAACCAAGCAGATGACCTGCTTCCCCTCATTTTACAGATTTGGGAACTGAACCTCCGAGAGAGGCAGATGGGTGTCTTAGGCCAGCAGGACACAGCCAGGATTCGATCTGCCCCAGCCTCACCGCCCCTGAGCCCCCCACCCCCCACTATGCTTACGCTCTTGCAAGAGGGAACTTAGTCACCAGGCCACAGAAATTGGCTCTAGTCGGCAGGGAATGTCCCTGAATCTCAGACATTGGTGGACCTGGGACTGTACTGTTTTCCTGGAATTTATTTTTAGAGTGGTGGACCAGGTCACACAGTCTGCCTGGCCAGAGTACTGTTTACTGTTTTTAGTGTTTACTGAGGCTTCTCAGGACTTGCAACCTGTGGGTGACTTAGGCCCTTTTAGGCCCCACCAACCCCAGGCCCAGATCTGTGGGGAGCCCAGCACCGTGGCCTGCTGCCCTGAACCCTTCAAGGGCAAGAGTCAAGGCTCACTTGTACCCCCTAGAGGAGTGCCTCTCTCGGGCTGGCACCCAGCTGTGGCTCAGGACGGTATGTCCAGTTGATCGCCTGGCCAGACAAACCAAAAGGACAAGGAGGAGAAGAGCAGAGTGAGGAAGAGAGGAAGGAAAGAAGGAAGGATGGACGGAAGAGGGGCTGACTTACAAGAAGAAACAAAGTGAAGAAATGAATAAAAGAACAAATGCTTGCATTGATGACGAATACCACATGTGACATGAATGGGGAATGTGTGGACAGGTGACCACTCTCCAGCCTCTGCCTACTCCAAGGCCCCCTGGCCTCACCCCTGTCCCCTTTTTCTCACAGCCCACCCCCATCCTAAGGCCAAATCCTGTGCGGTCCTGATCACGTCTCCACTGCCCTCATGTGGTTGCTCAGCTCCCTGCGCAGTCATCACCAGGGGCTGCCTCCCTGCTTGGGGTTCTGGACTTGGGTGTGTGGGATGTTTGTGGATGGCTGAGTGAAGGGGAGACATACAGTCTTTCCCCTTGGAGTGGCTTGGCAGGGTGCACGGGGCCCTGGTGTGTGGCTCCCGAAGTCCTTAGTTCTGCATGCATCCCCTGTCCTCTGCTCTCTTCCTTATGTTTTTTTTTTTTTTTCCCATATGGAGTCTTGCCCAGGATGGAGTGCAGTGACGCGATCTCAGCTCACTGCAACCTCCACCTCCCAGGTTCAAGCGATTCTCCTGTCTTAGCCTCCCGAGTAGCTGGGATTAGAGGCACCTGCCACCACGCCCAGTTAATTTTTGTATTTTTAGTAGAGACAGGGTTTCACCATGTTGGCCAGGCTGGTCTCAAACTCCTGAACTCAGGTGATCCACTCGCCTTGGCCTCCCAAAGTGCTGGGATTATAGATGTGAGCCACTGCGCCCAGCCTTGGCCCACTTTCTTTCATCTGAAATATCGGATCCCAAGAGCCCTTGCCCTCAGCCTGAACTCCTCCACCCAAAGCCTTGACCTCACATTTACTGAGCACCTACCTGTGCCGGACATTTGGCAAGTGTCATTTCATGCCATCCTATGAAGTATGTTCAATTCTTATCCTCCTTTGACAAGTAAGGAAACTGAGGCCCAAAGAGGTCAGATAATTTGCCCAAGGTCCCACAGATGGTAAGCAGAGGAGCTGGGATTTGGGCCCAGGCCCTTGGGCTCCAGAGTCCATACACACAGAATCTCCAAAGGTCAGAGGTACAGGGCTCTTTAGAGGCCATCTTATCCAACACCCCCATTCTTCAAATGGGGAAACTGAGGCCTGAGAAGGGAAGGAACTTACACAGCAAGTGAGTAACAGACTCAGCTCTACACCAGGTGGAACCCAGAGGGCCTGTGCTCCCAGGTTTCCTTTTGTCTAGCCTGCCCAGACAGCTCCAGCCTGGCTGCCATCTAACTGGGGCCCCAGGCCACGGGGACATGCTCTCCTGCCCCAGCTTCCTCTCCCTGCCAAATCATTATTGATCTTTCAGGGTGGGACGCGAGGGCTGATAATAGGGTGGGCGTGGTGGAGAGTGAGGAAGTCTGGTGGCCCCATCTTGGTGCTTATTTAGCTTTTTGATTGGTCCCTTTGGGGGTCTGCAGGCACAGACAGATGGGAGAGAGGAAGGGAAGTTTGGAGTTTGCTGCTGCTGACTGTGGAGCTGCTGCTGACCGTGATGCAGTGACTTGCCCTGCTTCTCCCACATGCAGGCCTGGCCCAGGCAATGCTGCTGGGCAGGTCAGAGACCTCCACACCTGTCCTCTTCGATGGGGCTCCCAGACAGAGGGGGCCTGGGACCCTGGAGGCATGTCCACGGGCCCAGGGCTGGGGCTGGAAGAGGGGAGATGAAGGGGCAGGGAGGGATGTGACCCTGGAGGTGGGGTGGCCCGAGAAAGGAGGGAAACAGGTTGGGAAGATTACAAGAGAGGAGAAGAAGGCAAGACAGCTTCTCAGAGCCTGGGCTGTCCTGGCTTCTCTCCAGGAAGGCACCTTGGTTTGAGTCCTGCTGAATGAACCCAAACCTAAAGGCAGCTCAGAGGCCTCCTGCCTGCCCCTCCTACCACTCACCGGTGAGGGTAACATTCACTGATGTCCCTCCGTGTCACCTCCAAAGCTTCTTAGAGTGACCCCTCCCTCCTTCGGACCTGCTCCTGCTCAAGACTCCACCATGGCTCCCCACTGCCAGCAGCACAAGGAGCTTCTCCCTGAGCTTGGACGCACAGCCTCCACAGCCCAACCCCACCTGGCCTCTCAAGCCTCAGCCCAGCTGTGTCTCCCCACACACTGTGACACCTTTGCTCAGGCAGTTTGAGACCCCCTCCCTCCTCCATGTGTACAGTCCCCCTGCTGCAAGGCCAGCTCTCATGCTTCTACCTCCTCCAGGAAGCCCTCCCTGGTCTCTGACCCCTTACAGGCTCCTGCCACAGCCCATCTCATTGGTTGCCTCAGAAGCTCTTCAGAGTCAGTCCCTGCAGTGGACAGGCCTGCCGGCAGCTGCTGGGAGTTCTCCATCAGCTCATCCCTATCCATGCTGAATGTCCCACGCTTGCGATATTCCAGGGGTGAGGAGGGGAAGCCAGCAGCCGGGGACCCAGGGGGGTTTCTCTTATGCCCTCAGCACTACCTTCGAGGAGCTGGGGAAGGGGGCGCTGTTGCTGAGTGATTCAGAGCACTGGCTCTGTAACTAGACAGGCTGAGCTTGAGTCCCAGCTCTGTGGCTGTGTGGTCTTGGGCTAGTTACCTAACTTCTCTGAGCTCTTTTCCACATCTGCAAAAAAGGGGATGGCAGCAGCATCTACTCTGAAGTGTTGCGGGCTGAACACCAGCATTTGCTGAATGTGGAAGGCCTTTCTCCCCTTCAGGCCTCCCCCTTGGCTTCCTTCTTCCCACCCCCCTCACTTTGTTCTGGCCAAATGGATACACTGGCCAAGTTTTTGCTCCCTCGTGCCCTTTTGAATATGCGGTTCCCTGCCAGGAATGCTTCTCCTGCCATGTCTACCTGATCTCCTCCTTCTGGCCCTGAAGCCTCAGCTGGGTGTCACCACCAGGAAGCCTTCCTTAATACTCCCTGTCATCCTACTCTCTCCTGCCAGAGCTGGCTCAGTGGCTCCTCTGAGCTTCCCAAGGAGTCTGATGCATTGGTCTTTCCTTGTTTTTTTTTTTTTTTTTTTTTTTTAAGACCTTTTTTTTTTGAGTCTTGCTCTGTTGCCCAGGCTGGAGTGCAGTGGCACGATTTCAGCTCACTGCAGCCCCCGCCTCCCAGGTTCAAGCAGTTCTTCTGCCTCAGCCTCCCGAGTAGCTGAGATTACAGGCACGTGCCACGACACCTGGCTAATTTTTGTATTTTTAGTAGAGATGGGGTTTCGCCATGTTGGCCAGGCTGGTCTCGAACTCCTGACCTCAAGTGATCCACCCACCTTAGCCTCCTAAAGTGCTGGAATTACAGGTGTGAGCCACCATGCCCAGCCTGCATTGGTCCCTGTAATGGTCTCCTCAGCAGACATGGGGCTCACTCCCCTCTGGGCACCCAGTAGCAGGAAGGAGGGTGCACAGTAACCCATAGGAGGCCTGAGTCCCTGATTCCTAGAGAAGAGACGAAGGTGATTCAGGGCCGAGCAGGGCTCCCTGGAAGCCCCCTCTTCCCGCCCCAGCTTTATTTTGGTTCTAGAATCATTCCAGTCGGCATACCCCGTCCCCACCACGGCCATCCTGGGCACACAGTTAACATGTCATGCAGTCAGGGGGAGGGAGAGTAGGGAGAGGGCAGGGGGGTCAGTGGCCTGCACTGCACAGCCACTGGGTCAGAGAGAGTTGGAGTATCCCAGGCTACAAAGCCTTATCCAGCCTTGTGTTTCCTGGCCCTGGGCTGACCTCCTGCTGTGGCCACAGGGTAGACAGCCTGGCCTTGGGCCTGGGCCATGGCTGTGTCAGGTGGGGAGAGCCACCATCCTGCCTCCAGTTCCCTGGGCCCCTGTTCCAGCCCCTCCTCCCCCCATATCACTGGGGATAACTGGTTGGCCTGGGTCGCCATAGCTCACCAGTTATGGACCAAGGAACAGGGGCAGCCAGCCTTAAGGTCCATGCTGTCACCTGTGGGTGGCCCCACCGAGCAGATGATACCCCACCTGCTGGCCTGGGTGAGCTCAGACCTTCCCAGCACTCAGCCATGAAGGCAAGAAGTGGCTTCCTGGGACTGTGGGACGCCAGGCTGGGGACGATAAGCTCTGCCTGCTCTCCTCCCACTGGAGCTGGGGGGTAACCAAAGACTGATGCCAGTAAAGGTGCAACAGCCCAGCCCCTCTGCTTCTGGGTGGGAGCCCCAGGGTGCCTCTTACAGCCCAGGCCCCTGCCCCCACAGCAGTCAGGCCAAGGCGATGATCTTGAAGCCACACTTGCTTGTCTTCCTTCCTCCAGCCTCAGCTCCCTTTCTGGCTCTGGTAAGTTTCTCTTGGAGCACTCACCCGCAAGAAACTACTTGCCCAAGAATCCCCCTCTAAGATTTCGCTTCTCGGGAACTAGAAGCTAGGAGACCCAGTGTCGGGGGCACCCCCCGCCCTGTGATTGAGAGCCATCTCCTTCCTAGCCTGGCATTCAGTCTTATCCTGGCGTCCCTCAAACCGCCCTTCCACCCTGGCCTCTCCTGGCTTCCCATCAGGCCTCAGCCACCTGGGCTGTCCTTCCGCTGCCACCCCTCCAAGGTCCAGCCCGAGAGCCTCCTTGTCCACCACATCTTCCCAGGCACCTGCAGCCCACCAAGACCTCTGCAGCCAGTATTCTCTCTGCCCCACCCCTGCCACCTCCCAGGCTGAGACCTGCCTGAGGCGTCTTTCTCCCAGTGGGCCTGGAAGGGCATCAAATGCTTGCAGAGCCCGGGCCTGGTTTGCGCAGGACTGAGCACAACAACCTGTGTCTGGGCCTCTTTGGACCTCTGGTTCTTGCCATGTTTGAGGTCCGGGGAGTAGATTTCACAGAGAATAACTCTGGAGCCAGTGTTCCACGTGGCCAGCAGTCTTCCGCCTGGGCCTGGTCTTTTGGTCTCTTGGTCTCTTGGTCTCTTCTCTGGCCCTGAGGGAGGCCCTTCCTTGTATCCACTGCAGTGGGCTGAGGGCTGCATTTGTGATGGGAAGTTCACATCCTGCCATAGCTCAGGCTGGGCCCGCTGCCTGCAACATGCTCAGTTCTTTCCCTGCCCCTCCAAGTGCAGCTCCTACCTTGTCAAAGAGATACTTCC